ACTATAACTAAAATGGAAACCTTAAAAACTATAAATCCTGAAATTATTGATTCTAGGAAACCATTAAAGTTACACATTTAAAATTGTTACAGAAAAAAAAAAATTAAGTTAATAAATGAGCAACATAATACCATACATTTTGTCGATATAAATCTAAAAATAAAAATAATTCTTTTTATTTTATTAAATAAAAAGATTATTATTTTTTTTTCCCACATAACCCGAATGTCTTTGATATAAATTATATCTCTTGCTCCAAATCTATATTATTTTTTTCTTATTGTAATGGCGAAATTTGATACCTATCATCATAAGTGACGTCACGTTACAGTGATATCACGATGAAATCATTTAGGCGAGATATTCTGGAATGTGTCGGACGTCACAGCCGAACGACCTATTGTTACAACAATTCAGGAAGTAATGCTTCTGTAGCCGTTATAAATTTGAAAGAAATAAAACGTAAAATATCTTACTTCATATAAAAATTATTTACATATTCATTATAGAAATATTTTATTATGGACAGTGCGTATTTAAGTACAGTACTGTATTTAAAAAAATGAGAAATTTCATAGTTAAAAATATAATTTATGAAAATATTAAATTATTTTTTTAAAAAATACAGTGGTATTTAGATAAATTTTAGATAAAATAACGCAAAAGAATGCCTGGAATTTTATCAGGTGTTATATTACAAATATATGTTTCTCAATCGAAAGCAATTCATAAATATTTTAAAAATTTTGTAATGTCATGAGTTATTCGTTATATAAATTAACTTACTTTTAACTTTTATTTAAAAAGAAAAACATTATAAAAAAGTACAAACACTAAATGTGGTTTCAAGTATTATAAAATTAAATGTAACTGTTCTAAAACTTTGTATTTACATAATATGAAACTTAAAAATAATAAAATATGCTGTTTTTTTTAATTATAATTTCCTATTTATAATATATAAAAGTATAGAATTATATATAATAAATTATTCATTTTCTTAACATTAAACAATAGAAAATAATTTTCTTGTATTTAAAAAAAAATGGTAGAAAATTACAAGCATAAAATGATAAATGAATACATTTATATATTCTTTTTTTGGTTTCTTTTGTTCTTTAGAAAATTACGTTTATAATTTTGTACAGACAAACCGACGAATAGTTTTTTTCTCAGTGTCATATTCTATCCCATGCTGAATCATCGTCCTTGAATGAACATATGATAAAATAAACATATCTGTTTCCGTATTTATATATTATAGGAATGAAAATTTATACTATAATTAATTTTAATCACAAAGTTTTCTTTATTTATAAATATACTATTAATAACTTTACTATTTATAAACTTTATAAAATTCTTAATTTATTGTTTTAAGAAAATTCTAATGATATATATAAATTTTTTAATGGTAGTTGTTAAAGTAGGATAGTGATGTTAATGATCTTTAAGTATGTTTATTTCTTTAATTATTATAAATTTTCTACAGTTACAGTCTCTCGACTCTGAAACTTTAAGTGCTCAAATTAAGCGAAGAATTTGAAGAAAAGAGAAAATTATTCTAACTAAAAAGAATAAAAATAAAACGAAATCTTTGTCTATACAACCGTGAAAATAATTTAATTATGAATTCTTGGAGGCGTAGAAATTTCTATTGTTTTTTTTTTTTCTTGTATAAAATATTCATGAATTAACTTTTTAAAATTTTAAGCAATTTTTTTTTTATTCCAGTTTACATATTAAGCAACATAAAAAATAATAATTAATTTTTATTTAAAAGATATAGCTTTTACTAATGAGAAACAATAATGTATATGCAGAAAATGAACAAAATAAAATTTTAGTAAATCATTTATATCATGCTTTAATTATGTACTGTACTGCATGTATACTGTATACCCATACATACATACAAGAAAATAATAATAATAATAATAAACATTTTATTTGCATTAAGACTAGGCCTTTTTATAGGGGTTATTTTTCTAGTAATTTATTGTTAAATAACATTCATTCAATATACATTTTCTTAAAGATCACAACATATATACATGAAAATAAAATACAGTATAAAGAAAACATCAATACAGTAACACCTTTCTGTACAAGGCCATTACATATATTATTTTCAATAGTAAAATGTGCATTTTTATGAGCTAAAACTCTATAAAAACATACATACACAAACACACATATATATATTTAAAACAATAAATACAAATAATTAAACATTGTTTAAGTTAACATATTAAATTTAAATATTATTAATCAATATAATAATTTTATAATTGTGATATAATAGAAAATTTATTTTATTTAGTTTTAATAAAAATGATAAAATTTTCTAGAATGAATTACATTTTTTTGCTTATTCTCTACAACTCTAGAACTTAATTGTCCAATGGGATTTTACAGATGTAATATGCATTACGCATGCGCGTTAAGTGTCGAGTACAAGTCGACATGGCGTACGTCCGATCGGTTATACAGCAACCTGTTCGTGCGTCTTTCGTTAAATAGGCCTTATTTGTGTGGTGAATTCGTTATTAATTTGTGCCCTTGGATTAAAAAACGTGTAAAGATGACAACGGAACGCGATCGGAAAGTACAGGAAAGAGAAAAACTGAAAAGTATTATAGCCCAATGGAATGCCAATCGTTTGGATTTGTTTGCTCTCAGTGATCCTAACGAAGTAAGTTTAAATAACCAAAATATTAAATACCTATTTTAATATGGTTTACGGTTATTAAAATCGGGATAACAACGTGTCGTATATTTATAAAATTGTATTAAAGTTAGGCCTAACCTTAGGCTTAACTTCGGTGATTTCAACATGGCGTCTCAGGTGAGTCCAATAAAAAAAAAAAAAAAACAAACAGGTAGATAATCAAGGCGAAATTACTATATTTTATAATATTTTTTTTTATTCGTCAATAAGCTGTAACGTCACACACGTAAACAATGTCAATTACATAAAAATATGTCAATTTCTCACACGTTTTTCATAGACGTTCGGTGAAATATTTATGCAATTTGTTACATTTTTATTTTTCTATTTTTAAAATAATTGCCGTAATTTGAAACTATTGTATTGTTTTTGTTTGTCTGTCATACTATATAATTGAAGTGTAAAGTGTGTTATTGATATTAATGTATAATTAAACTTTTATCACATTTTAAAACAAAAGAGATTTTAAAAGATTAAAGTTACTATTACGGACGTGATTTTTTGATGAAATTATGATAAAATAATACATAAACATTTAAATGATTGCTCTCAAATTATGGAATTTGTAAGAGTTTGTTTATGTAAGAATGTATTAAAAGTAAACTTTTTACCACTGGAAAATGGTTAAAAATACATATATTCGTGACAAAAGATTTTTACTAAATTTATTTGCAATTTATTATATTAATGTACAAATTAATGTTTAATTTTTCTTCACAAAATATATTAATATTAAAAAATTTATTTTATGTTTCTTATTTTAGAACACTGGCTGTAAAAACAAAATTTGTTAAATGAATAATGTTTCTTCTTTCTACATATTTTTTTAAATTATTATTCACAAATGCTAAATATTTTTAAATGAATGGATTGTAATTTTTAAAAATTTGAAGATTAAGATTAAGATATGTATGAAAACATATAAGTGTTTTGACTTTACTACATCAAACTTTTGTTCTTTAGAAAATTACGTTTATAATTTTGTACAGACAAACCGACGAATAGTTTTTTTCTCAGTGTCATATTCTATCCCATGCTGAATCATCGTCCTTGAATGAACATATGATAAAATAAACATATCTGTTTCCGTATTTATATATTATAGGAATGAAAATTTATACTATAATTAATTTTAATCACAAAGTTTTCTTTATTTATAAATATACTATTAATAACTTTACTATTTATAAACTTTATAAAATTCTTAATTTATTGTTTTAAGAAAATTCTAATGATATATATAAATTTTTTAATGGTAGTTGTTAAAGTAGGATAGTGATGTTAATGATCTTTAAGTATGTTTATTTCTTTAATTATTATAAATTTTCTACAGTTACAGTCTCTCGACTCTGAAACTTTAAGTGCTCAAATTAAGCGAAGAATTTGAAGAAAAGAGAAAATTATTCTAACTAAAAAGAATAAAAATAAAACGAAATCTTTGTCTATACAACCGTGAAAATAATTTAATTATGAATTCTTGGAGGCGTAGAAATTTCTATTTGTTTTTTTTTTTTCTTGTATAAAATATTCATGAATTAACTTTTTAAAATTTTAAGCAATTTTTTTTTTATTCCAGTTTACATATTAAGCAACATAAAAAATAATAATTAATTTTTATTTAAAAGATATAGCTTTTACTAATGAGAAACAATAATGTATATGCAGAAAATGAACAAAATAAAATTTTAGTAAATCATTTATATCATGCTTTAATTATGTACTGTACTGCATGTATACTGTATACCCATACATACATACAAGAAAATAATAATAATAATAATAAACATTTTATTTGCATTAAGACTAGGCCTTTTTATAGGGGTTATTTTTCTAGTAATTTATTGTTAAATAACATTCATTCAATATACATTTTCTTAAAGATCACAACATATATACATGAAAATAAAATACAGTATAAAGAAAACATCAATACAGTAACACCTTTCTGTACAAGGCCATTACATATATTATTTTCAATAGTAAAATGTGCATTTTTATGAGCTAAAACTCTATAAAAACATACATACACAAACACACATATATATATTTAAAACAATAAATACAAATAATTAAACATTGTTTAAGTTAACATATTAAATTTAAATATTATTAATCAATATAATAATTTTATAATTGTGATATAATAGAAAATTTATTTTATTTAGTTTTAATAAAAATGATAAAATTTTCTAGAATGAATTACATTTTTTTGCTTATTCTCTACAACTCTAGAACTTAATTGTCCAATGGGATTTTACAGATGTAATATGCATTACGCATGCGCGTTAAGTGTCGAGTACAAGTCGACATGGCGTACGTCCGATCGGTTATACAGCAACCTGTTCGTGCGTCTTTCGTTAAATAGGCCTTATTTGTGTGGTGAATTCGTTATTAATTTGTGCCCTTGGATTAAAAAACGTGTAAAGATGACAACGGAACGCGATCGGAAAGTACAGGAAAGAGAAAAACTGAAAAGTATTATAGCCCAATGGAATGCCAATCGTTTGGATTTGTTTGCTCTCAGTGATCCTAACGAAGTAAGTTTAAATAACCAAAATATTAAATACCTATTTTAATATGGTTTACGGTTATTAAAATCGGGATAACAACGTGTCGTATATTTATAAAATTGTATTAAAGTTAGGCCTAACCTTAGGCTTAACTTCGGTGATTTCAACATGGCGTCTCAGGTGAGTCCAATAAAAAAAAAAAAAAAACAAACAGGTAGATAATCAAGGCGAAATTACTATATTTTATAATATTTTTTTTTATTCGTCAATAAGCTGTAACGTCACACACGTAAACAATGTCAATTACATAAAAATATGTCAATTTCTCACACGTTTTTCATAGACGTTCGGTGAAATATTTATGCAATTTGTTACATTTTTATTTTTCTATTTTTAAAATAATTGCCGTAATTTGAAACTATTGTATTGTTTTTGTTTGTCTGTCATACTATATAATTGAAGTGTAAAGTGTGTTATTGATATTAATGTATAATTAAACTTTTATCACATTTTAAAACAAAAGAGATTTTAAAAGATTAAAGTTACTATTACGGACGTGATTTTTTGATGAAATTATGATAAAATAATACATAAACATTTAAATGATTGCTCTCAAATTATGGAATTTGTAAGAGTTTGTTTATGTAAGAATGTATTAAAAGTAAACTTTTTACCACTGGAAAATGGTTAAAAATACATATATTCGTGACAAAAGATTTTTACTAAATTTATTTGCAATTTATTATATTAATGTACAAATTAATGTTTAATTTTTCTTCACAAAATATATTAATATTAAAAAATTTATTTTATGTTTCTTATTTTAGAACACTGGCTGTAAAAACAAAATTTGTTAAATGAATAATGTTTCTTCTTTCTACATATTTTTTTTAATTATTATTCACAAATGCTAAATATTTTTAAATGAATGGATTGTAATTTTTAAAAATTTGAAGATTAAGATTAAGATATGTATGAAAACATATAAGTGTTTTGACTTTACTACATCAAATTATCATAATGAATTGAAGAAAACTAAAAATTTGGACAAAGCGTAATTTTATTTATAATTAAAGTTTTTCCAAGTTTAATTTCAGAATATTGATATTAAAATTCTGAAGTTAAAGTAGCTTAAATAGTAATTATAGATATGCGTAAGCTAAGAATTCTATTATTAAAATTATAAATATACATAGCTACAATTTTTTGTTAACTTAAAATTTGAATGTGTGGAATTGAATTAATTTTTTAAATTAATGTATGGTTCATATTTAATAATTTACTCTTGATCCGAGTTTCATATATACTTGAACAGTTCAGAAAAAATTATTTTGCATGTATCATGATGTTTAATATTATAACAAATTTAATGAAAGATTGTAAAATGCAATTATTATTATTATTATTAAAATGTAATTTATGTAAATTTAGTTTTTTTATTTTATTTCTTAATATGTTTCTGATTGTTGTTAAAAAGATCATACAAATTCAGCATTTTTGATACATAGAATGTAGATTAAGGATATTATAAAATTAGCAAATTTAATTGCTGATTTTAATCTGTATTAAAAAATTTCAATTTCCTGCATCATTTGATATCCTGATAGTGATTGTCAAGGTCAAAGATTACTATTAAAATACTATTTAAATATATTACTGATTTTAATGAGATATGCAAAAGAATGTATTGAATTAGGTCAGAGTTAACATTGTTACTATTGAAAGAAATAAAATGTAACAACTTATTATGTTTATGAAAAAAATTATCCTCAATCTCCATATTTTAAGTGTATCTTTTATAAGTATTTCCAGTCTGCTTTTATTTACTTCTAAAATTATCATCTCTGGAATTTGTACAAATTGTACAGTCGTCAAAATTTGAACTATTTGTAGTCATGTTGATCCCATATGAGGCCCTTCGTGTCATATGTTTGCGTATATTATAGCTTTGCTTTTAATTCAACACAAAGTTGATTGTGGATAATTTCATATGGTACAAAATAAATAATTAAAAGAAAATTGAAAAAGTTCATTGGTTATGAAATTTCATATACTTTATACACATAAGCATAAACTATTTGAAATTAAGTATACCATCGGTAAAACATAGAGTTTGNGTTGATATTTCCGTTTTATATGAATTCCATGTTGTACGAGTCACTTAGATTTTACAAATACGTGAGCCGTTCACAGCCCGGCATACGTATTTGTAAAATCTAAGTGACTCGTATAACATGGAATTCATATAAAACGGAATTATCAACAGTGTTATAGGGGGTCGACTGTAATGAAAAATAACCATTAGCGAAGAATTTAAAAAAAAACAAGAGATCGTGTTTTCTCCTGATAGTTGGCCATATCTCTAAGCATTGTTTGATTTAAGTTATATATATTAAAGCTTAAGTTGAAATATTTGTGCACTTATATATATATTTTTTCTTTAACAAAATTAATGTATATATATATATTAATAGATGATAACGATAAATACTGTGTTTTAATGATGATTTTAAGTTTTGTACTTTACAATTTGATTTTATAATTGCTACATTATGACACTTGGTTTTAATTTTATCAATTAATTAATTTTAGTTTGAAAATTTTTATTTTTAGATTAGATTACATTGAAATATATTTAAGAAACTGGTTTTTAGTTGTCTCATTCAACGAACCAACTAGTTAGGTCGTAAAATAATCATTTATTTTACAAAATAATTCTTAATTAGAAATGAATTTCTAATTATTTGACAATGATAGATATATTTGTAGGTTATATAGCACTAGGTTGTATATAATTTAAGACACGTCGAAATAAATCGATCAGTTCAGTGGTTGTTTATTATGTTGGATTGATTTGATTAGGATCTGAAATCTTATCTCGTTTTCCTTTTCTTTTTATATCTTTTCATGGTCGATAGAATAGACAAAATTTTACAAATGTAGGGATGATTTTTGGTTTTTTTCCACGGAATAAAACCAAAAATCATTACATTTAATCTGTAATAATTTTTCTTCAGAATATGTAATGAATTCCTCGTTATTCTCGCCGCTTGCGCAGAAATTTGAAGTTTGCTTTAATCAAATATTAGAAGTTTAAAAGTGAAATATCTGTAGCGCATTCGGAAATAAATAGCTTAGTTTAGTAACTCTCTGATAAGCCGACTACTTACTGCAGCTATGTACGGGGAGAAGTAACAATTTCCGACATTGTATCCCGTCGCTTCGATGACTCACAAAATCACGACTTTGATAGACAGAATACCTCAACCTTTTTTTTAGTTATAAAGACGTCTAAAAATCCGTTCGAAAATGTCATTCTCAATCACTACTGTTGTAATCAAGAACTGTGACGTATTCTCATACTAATAAAACATTTTCGTCTGAACTAAATTCCTTACATTGTACGAACGAACTAAATTCCACCGAATTAATAATTTTAATTAACTTGTTTCGCCGTGTAAATGAAACATACAGACAATTTTATGTTGACACTGATTTTGAACTTATTTACATGCAGTATTTCATACACATATGCTAGTGGCATTCGATTATCGAATAATCGACTATCGATGCGATATTTTCCAATATCGAAATCTGAAAAAAATTAATAGTGTTTAATATAATTTTCGATGTGCGATGTTACAGATAGCCGCGATTACCGAAATTCCGTATTATTTTACATCACAACTTAACTACAGTCAAACTTCTATATAACTTAGTTTAACTATATTTTCGTTTACAATTAAACAATTAATAGACAGAACAATTAAAAAATGTTCTTTCTTTGTAATATGCTTCACATTTATTAAGAGCATTAAAACTGTTTTAGTACAGTGATGGACAATAGTATTGGCATATGTCCACTTCTTAAATTTTCTTGTATAAATTTAATAGTAAAAAAACTGAAATTTTCATATAATTAGATGTTATTCATCACATAACAACACTAAATAAAAATATTATTTACATATTTTTGGCTTTGAAAACTTTACAAAGTATATTTACATACATGATTTGAATAGAAAAGGTATTGCCACAGTGATGATATTTAAGCAAATTAGTTTTATCCATGCCATTATTTATGCTTAATATATGAAATCCAACATTTATTTTAATGTTATCAGATATGAAAATTATTGTTATTTCAATCTAGTTGTTGTTATTACCAAAATAAACAGCAGAGGTACTGAAACAACAATAGAAGAAAGAAAAATCATCTCACATTTGTGCACTCTTAATAAATCATATTCAGAAATTGGGAAAATAGTTAAAAAGAATATGTTTACTGTAAAAAATATAACTAAGCATTTTAAATTGACTTACAACTTGGAAAATAAACCAAGATGCGACCGCCCATGGAAGCTTACTCCCAGGGAAGAGAGAAATATAGTCTGTTCAGTCAAGGAGAAGCCAAAAATATCTTCAACTGAAGTTTCAATGATGCTAAATGAAGATTTCAACGAGGTGGTTCATTTGAAAACTGTCCACTGAATCCTTCATTGTGTTGGTTAGAGTGAGAGTAGCTAGAAGAAAGCCATATGTAAGAAAAGTTAATTAATCAAAAGAAGAGGCTTATTTTTGCAAAAGATCATATTAATAAACATAATTTGTTTTGGTCTAAAGTGTTGTTTTTAGATGAAAGTAAATTCACTTTAATTTGTAACAATGGAAAAAATTTACTTTGTAGGAAACTCAACACAGAACTCCTAGTAAAGAACATTCAAGCCACAGTAAAACATGGGGGTTGTAGTGTGATTGTATGAGGTTGCAGTTATTGGCTACTGATGTAGGAAACTTATATTCATGGACAATACGATGGATAAAATGATGTATTTAAATATTCTCAATGGAAATCTTCAGTAAAGTGTAAATAAACTAAATTTGGACAATGGCTTTTACTTTCAGTAGGACAATGACCATAAACATTTGGCTTGTATTGGCCATCAATGACTACCTCACACTCTGAAACATCCTCCACAATCTCCAGATTTGAATCCTATCGAACATTTATTGTAAAAACTTGATAGAGTGAGAAAATAAGAGATATAGAACTTAAATGTTGACTTCTTGTTGAATAATGGAAAAAAATTTCCTCTGAAATCATGCAAAAACTAGTGCATTCAATGCCAGAGAGACTAAGAACTATTATTAAGAATCAGGGATTTACTACAAAATATAAATTAATATATTTTTAGCATTATCTTCAAATGTGCCAATACTTTTGACATTTGTTTTGATGAGTAGGATACTTCATTAATTTTTTAAGAACATATTATTATGTAATGTTAGTTTAAAATTTTGTAATGTACTTTATATTATTCTTAACTATGTATATATGATTTTTATTTGGAAAACAATTACTTTATTCTAACTATATTCCTCAAAAATTAGTCCTGCAGTTGTCAAAATTATCACTTTTCTAATGTTTTCCAGCATTTGTTAAATGTATCATAAATTGTTTATCTGTCAATGCTGCATTTGATCCTAATTTCTCTCCCCTTTTTTACAACTTGTAGCCACATGGGGGCAGATTACATGATGATTTTAAAAGGTAATGACCAGTATTTCTCATACCTGGGCTGTGGTTTAACAAAGGATTTATAAATTGATACCTGAAATTGAAACCTAAATTTGAACTCAGTCTAGATAAAGTAATCGACTTTTAATGATTAATGCTTCTTACAAATTAAAAAAATTTTTTTATGTAGAAATTTAACTTTGTTATTTAGAAATAGTTTTATATATATTTTTGGCTGAAAGAGCAGTATACAAAGCAAAAATTTGTTATACGGAGAAATTATCTATATAGAAGTTTATAATATGGAAGTTTGAATGTATATTTGAAATTAATAATTATAAACTATTTAAAATAGGATTGCTAACTTTTAAAGTAACAAATTCTGAACAGAGTATAGAGAAAACATCAACTTGAAAAAAGTGATGAGGGAAAAGAAAATCTCCCTTTTACAAACAAATTTGGAAACAGTTTTTTTTTTCCTGTTTCATGATGAGACAGTAGGATGACCAAGATAATTAAGGCATCAGTTTACTGTGATTCAAGACCTTCACAGCAACTAGTGGCTGCGTTGTAACATGGCTCAATGCTGATAGTTGTAAATTTGTCTCATCAGTGAGCTTGCCTTATGGAGTTTATTGGATTTTCTTCATGTATCTAACACCTAAATAGGACCAGTTTTCCATAAAAGTCTTATGGGAGGTACTCTCCTTGGCAGATTGCCTATGTGTCATGCCTCAGCCTAATTTAAACTATCCTGGGAACTTGTGATCAAATCTAGTCAAGCATCTCCAGGAAGTTTTCATAGGTAGTCCATTCTGGAATATGTTGAACTCTGTCCCTCACCACCTTGCAGCTTCTCCCAAAATTTTTCATTTTTATCCTTTATATTCCATGGAAATATTAATATTTCCATTAATATCCTTTCTAGTAAAACTCCCTATATTTCTTGATCTGGTTAAAGCTGTGATGGCTATGATTAAAACAGGTCTTTTTAGACCACAAGTCAGAATGAGACAAAAATGGAAAAAAAATGCAACCTAGTAGGTTTGTCAACTGTTTGGATTTTTCCAGACAATACAGAATGCAAATTTTTAAAAAACTGTATGGAAATGTTCTGAAAAATAAATTAGGAGATTTTTTCTAACTCATCTCTTCTTCCTCATGAGAAGTTGGTAACTCTAATAGTAATCCAAATTATATTCTCCCTGCTGATTTGCAATTTTTTTTTTTTTTTTTTTTCTTTCTTTTTTTGCTCTTTCCACTTTGTGACAGTAAGAGGGCTTTTTTTCCAATCGTTCAACCAAGCTCACAATGGGGTGGACAGATGGTGAGAGATGGAGCCCAACTTATCTAGGACAAACCACTTGTGGAAAATTTCAGGGGTGCTCATCCAGATTGGATGTTGGGTCTTCCAGAGTGGTAGGCTAATGCCTTAACCACCTGGTTTAATTAACCACCACAGCTGTCCAATTATGATCTTTATGATAATCATTAAGGAAAGAAAAAAAATGTTTCCAAGTTTGTTTGTAGGTTTTCTTTTGCTCGTTGTTTTTTAAGGTGGTATTTTTTGTTGCCAACTTTCAGAATTTGTTACTCTGAAAGTTGGCAACTCTATAACCTAGTGGGAATTTAATTCTGATTACAGTATAAAATAAAGCTGTTTAAGTAAATTGCTATAATTGTCATTGATGTAGAATTTTATTGATTAATAATCAATATTTTTAAAATATTGATTGCCAATTACTTATTATTTATTGCTCAGTATTGCATTATTTATACAATTAAGGAATTTTTTGAATGTCCCTAATACATGTGTGTGCTTTTTGCATTTATTATATCAGCAATAATTAATTAGTAGTAATATAGATTGCCAAATGTAATATTTGATCATTTCTCTTAATGGATAAGATAGGAGATTACTTTTGTATTTCTTTAACATTCATAACTTTAAAATATTTGAGTAATTAATTTTATATTAATAAGTAATAAAATATTTTTTAAAAAGTATATAAATATATACTTTTTTTTATTTTGTCTGAATTTATAAAATTTTTAAATACAGTATTCAAAATACTGTAAATAAATAAAAGTTTATAATCATTAAATTTTTCAAATTTATAATTAATTACATTATCTGTAAATATACAAGATTTACCTATGCAAATGATTATATAATTTTTCAACTTAGTAAACATGGGGAAGATTAATATTTAAAGCAAATACTAATATTAAATTTAAGTTTTCTTATGATTTCATGGTGCTTTTTATTATTTATCTTGCTCTTTAAATAATTAAACGACTTCATTTCATTACATTCAGACTTGAAAAATATTACTTTAAGTTTTTAAATTCTTGTAAATTGTTTAATTTTTAAATAATTTTTATAATTTGTTCTATTCTTTGAAATAATGATTTGTTTTTGTTTTTAACGGCTTTCTCTTTTGCATTTAATAATTAAAAAATTGTCAATAAAAGATACTTTGTAATTAATCAAAATAATGAATCTGGCTTTATTATTTGATTTATTAATATATATAATTTGGGTTCAGTTTTCTAAAAGATACTTTTTGCACCCTTTTATGGCAGAATAAATAAAATGCAGAGATGAACTAAACAAAGTTCCAAAATATTGTGCTGTTATATGGTGAAGTTATTGTTGGTTTAATTACATTAACTTAGACATAATTGTCCAATAATTTGTCACTTGTTTGGTTTAACTAATAAATCAAGTTTTAGAGATGGTGATAAATGAAGAAATGAGATGAAGTGTAGTGTTTATATGATCTCAAATTTCTTATATGTATATGGTAGTTGGAGAATGTTAACACTTTATAAACTTTAAGTTATTATAGGGATTTAATGTTTTTAATATGAAAGTGGACATTTATGATTCTTGACAAATTAATTTATTTTGAATTAAAATAGCTGTTTATATATAGCACAATATTTTACAAAAATGTTTTAAACGATAGATTTTTAAAAATATTTTTGCTAATGTCAGTTTAGTTATTTCTTACAACTATTATTTTAAAGAAAATAAAGTAAATTTTAAACAATTTGAAAAATTTACTTTATTGCCTTAGCAGTTCTAATGGTATCTGGTGAGATGTGATGGAAATAAAGTTGTAGTTAAGTAATAAGTAATAAAGTTGCATTATTATATATAATTTTTTTTATTTGTTTATTTCTTTAACTTATTACTTCATAAGTTCTTTTAAACTGGTTATAGTTTATAAGAAGTTATGTCCTTTCAAAAACTCAAATTTTGACTTTGTTTTTGAAGGAAAATATACATTAATGAGAAACTTTCAAGATTTTTTTTTTCATTTTATAAAAAAAAAATTAGAGAAATTAATTTAGTTCTTTTTGAACAAGAATTTAATATTTTTTAATACCATAATTATATTTTAACAAGATTTAATATTTTAACTTTTTTTTAAAATAGGAATTAGAATTTCATGGAGTTATGCGTTTCTACTTTCAAGATGCTGGGCAAAAAGTGGCTACAAAGTGTATACGTGTTGCCAGTTCAGCATCAACTCAAGATTGCATTGAAACATTAATTGAAAAATTTAGGCCTGATATTAGAATGTTATCTGTTCCTGAATATGCATTATATGAAATACATGAAAATGGTGGTATGTTTACTGTTCTAATGATACTTTTTTTATAATTAAAAAAATTGCACCTTAATGACATGCAAATAAATAATTTCTTAGTTCTGGAAACTTTTCATAAATTTTTTTATTTGATAGAATTTTCTTTTTAGTCATATTAATTAAGGTTTATAATAAAGAAATACAGGTACACCTCGACTTACATCGTTTCGAGTTACGTCGTTCCCGATTATACGTCGTTTGTCAAAAAAGTATATGGAAAAATAAAAATAAAATTTAAGTCATTTTATTCGACTTTACGTCTGTCCGCCACAAATATTGAAGTCGTAATATCACTAGAAAAATGTTTAAAGCACATAAAATCATATTAAAATATATACAAGTATGTACTGTATTTACAGTACACGCATTCGTAAATTTAGATTACTTTTTTTGTACTATATTAAAAACTAAAATTTATTTGTTTGTAAGCTTAAAATAGATTTTTATTAACCATATATTATTTAAAATGCTTTCCTAGTGATAAGTAGATTCGGAGACAGGTAAATTCGACTTACGTCGTTTTCCTGGAACCAATTACCGACGTAAGGCGAGGTATACCTGTATT